GGTTCATGTCATTGGTGTAGGTTTGTAGAAGTATGTCACTCAATCAGTGCTGCTTTCTTATGTCAAAGATTTACTTGACACCTCCGCAGTCACACAGTCATTTTTCTGCTTCCTGGCAGCCTACATTAAAAACTCTCATGCTTTCAACAGATCACGCCTGTTTCTCTGGTTCTCACTTTCTGTTAGGGGGCTCTTTTAAAAACTTTGTTTTTTTTTACACTGTGCATCACCTTGTTAACATCACACAATCTCTTACTTACCTTGCATATCTAATTATACCATCTATGGCTTGATTGGTGCTCTGGAAGCTCGCAGCTAGTGAGCAGATTACACCTTTTTTTTGTTTTTTTTTTTGCTTTTATACGGTTCTGTTGTGAAGTTAAAGCCAAAGCAATGCATACAAACGTTTATTTATTTATTGCATTTTGCAACTCGAGCTTGAGCTTAAATAGTCCAGTGCATTGGAAAAGAGGCACGGTACAACTTGAACTGGGGCCCATTTCAAGCCTTTTTTTTTTTTTTCTTACTTGTTCTTGCAAATTCATGCAAAAAGTGGACAGTGTTAAGCTTGTTTGTTCACACTTGGCATTAAAATTCTTTATCTGATTTTTTTCGCTCCGTACACCCAAAGGGGCGTCAAAGAACACGCCCTTTGCTGGTTTGTTGAAAGACTTCAGTAAGTGGGACGTTTTAGCTTTGATGCCTTCGTAATCATTTTTCTGTGTTTGACTTTACGGTCATGGAAAATTTTTGCTAATTTAAATCACCGGCTGATTAACTGACACAGTATATTTTCCACTCGTTTCCGTTTTGTATAATTTTTTTTTTAAGCTGGTGTGAATTTGTTAATCTCTTCCGTAAGTCTAGCTCACCCACTGACTCTTTTTGGTTGCTCTAATACATTGAGTTTTTTTTATTTATTTATTTTCCTTTTTCTTAAATTACAACCCTCTTCCCTGTCACAAAACATTTCTTGAATATTGGGGGTTGACAATTTCTTACTTTGGATATGAATTTTACAGTTTCTTTCTTTTTTTTTTTTTTTTTTGCAAAGTCCTATATCATTTAAAAAAAATAATGGATAACAATATCCCACTTGCTGTAGTATTCTGGTTGCTTTCTTTTTCTTCATTGTGTTCAATTAAATAATTTAAACATTAACCATGACTCTGATTAATCAGCGCTTCATTATTTAAAAGTGTTCTGCTGGAAAAACTCTTGCAGCTTAATTATTTATGCTAACATGCAAGCTGTGAAAAAAGAACACGAAGAATAAAAAATGCTGAAATTAACAGAGCAGCACAAAGATGCTAATGTTTTTATTTATTTTTATCACTTTTTTTATCGCCTGATAATCACTGCCTATTATTTTCGTGACCCAGCATCTTTGTTTTTTCTGTGGAAACATTTTCATCAGGAGTTTCTAAAAGGTATTAATCCAACAAATAAGTTTAATTTGACTGAGACGTCAGTGTCTGATTTATCGATGCTGTTCATCAATTGCATTTTTTTATTTAAAGCAAGATTCTCGATAATATTGCTGCTGCAGGAGGAGGGTTGGCGGATCTTCAGTCCGTGCCTGTTCCTGCTCTTGTTTTGGCGTCATCTGTTTTTGCCTTTTTTTTTTTTTTGTGTGTCATTTTTGCTGAGTATCATTTTGAAAGTGCGCTTCTTAATTTATCTGTAGATCTTTTCGCCTTAATATGATTACATCTCGTGCATCGTTGCTGTATCTCCCGAAAATGTTCCAGGCGCTGTTCACGGCATCGAAGTTCTGCCTGTTTGACGTTCTGCACAAGAAGCCTGGGCTGGACGCAGAGCAGATAGCCCAGGAGATCAAAGCCTCTGTGAAGGGGACAGAGACGCTGCTGGAAGCTTGTGTGTCACTGGGGCTGCTGAAGACCAGAGATACAAGTTAGTCATTCCTCTGACGCTGTTTTTATTCCCTAAGCAGCTTCACTTATTAGGTTTAAAATGGCTAAATTGGCTAATTTAGTTCAAAAAGCATATGTTATCTAGATTAATTTAACACAGTGATGTATCTCAAATGTTTTTTTTTGTTGTTTTTTTTTTTCTGTTGTTTTTATCTAAGACGACAATCCCTATCAACCTGCTCCAGTAAGGATGTATTTATTCCTCACAGTTGATAAACACTCAAATATTAGGCTTCTTAGAAAATTTGAATATCGCACAAAAAACAATCAAATCCTTCAAACGGAGGGTAATCTATGAAAGCTGATCTGTAGAAGATTACTATAGATCAGAGTGCCATGCCAACGTTTGCATAATGGAAAATTGAGTGGATGGAAAAAGTGTGGTCGAAAAAGGCACACATAAGATGCAGAGAGGACACCTGCTTTGAGAGGAGTATGAACCGCATTCAGAAGGCGTGGACTCCATCGGTTGTGAACACTTAAAAGAGCAACCACACGTCGCCCTATTTAGGGCCGCAACTTACTAAAATAAGTTACTCTGTGTGTAATAAATCTGCATCTAAGTTTCATTGATGGAAATTAATTTCGGAATTTATGTTTCGATGATATTTTGAGATATATATATATTTGTTTTTGTTATTGTTTGTTTGAGCAGGACGCCCAAAACCTGGATTTGAGAACGCGGACGTGGCTTCGTGTTTCCTGCGCTCAGATTCTCGTTTCTCGCTGAACGCCTACATTCTTCACTGTAATGACACATTGTGGCCTGTTTTCTCTCACCTCGAAAGCGCGGTGCGGGAGGGAACTAGCCAGCGTGGGAAGGTCAAGGCATCTACAGAGATTTGTCAGGTGATCATCTTGCAGTTCACTATCTGATTGATGCGGTGTAGATGAAACTTTCTGCAAAAAGCTTACCGCATTGATATACCATACCGCTCGTCTTTTTTTTTTTTTTTTTTTATAGGAAGCCAAGCTGAGATTCATGCATGCCATGCACAGCTCTGCTAAAGTGGCAGCTGCGGCCGTGGCGACGGCCTTTGACCTATCCAGCTACAAAACGGCCTGCGACGTGGGCGGTAAGAAATGAAGGGACGAGGAAAATGAGCTCGCCGTTTTTCCCAATGAGAAAACGTTCGTCCGCTTACAATTTTATCGGTTTTGCCAGGATGCACCGGCGCCTTCGCGTACGAGTTGACTAAAACCCACCCCAACCTGTCTGTGGCTGTGCTTGACTTGCCTGCCGTTGTGGAGATGAGTGGGCCGTTTCAGCGGCAGCACGCAGACAAAAGGGTCACTTTCAAAGCTGGTTAGTTGTCAATCATGTTGTTTTCAGTTACTAGATGTCGTAGTGATGTAGTGATGGAGCCAGAGCTCTCATTTGCACTGTAAATTCCCCGTTTCCCTGCTGTTCGGACAGGAGACTTCTTGAAGGACGAGTTGCCTAAAGCGGACTTGTACATCCTGGTGAGGATTCTCCATGATCTGAGCGACGAGAAGCTGCATATTCTGCTGAGGAGAATTTCAGATGCGTGCACTCCAGGTATAAAAGCTAAAAATAATTAAGAAAAAAAGGCAAATTGTGTATAGTTTCTTTGTATTTAATGTTGTTAGACTGTTAAAAACAATTAGAAGCACTAAGCCGAGTGTTGTTGGAATATAAAATCAAAAAAATCAACTGCTGCTTTGTTAGCATAAAGGAGCAGCGCGGGGCTCTCTGTGAGACCTGTGCGAGGAAACAGCCGAGCCAAAGCGCCTGCTCGCTTATACGGTGATTTATTCTTTCTGTTCGTGCTCTTAACGTTGCATGTTTGCATATACTTTCTGCCGCCAGGCTGTGGCCTCCTGCTGAGCGAGATCTTTCTGGATGAAAACAGAAGCGGCCCGAGCCGAGGGCTGCTGCAGGCTCTCAGCATGAGCGAGGGGAAGCAGCGGAGTGCGGCGGAGTACAGTCGGCTTTTGAAGGGTCACGGTTTCATAACGGCACAAGTGAAGCACACGAACAACCTTCTGGATGCAATGCTCTGCACCAAGGCGTAGCAGACTTGCACCCTTACCTACATTTAGAGCTTTGTGATGTTGGTTATGATGAAGGATGTTGTTGAACTTTGCCAATATTAAACACTAACTTTTGTTTTTGTTAAATATGAAAATAAGTGAAAGATGTCCTTATTTCAGGCTGAACTCTTTATGTACAGGATGTCAGATTTTGCACTATTCTGAAGATTATTGAATTAAGATTGTTCTGTTATGCCAACTCTAAAATGAAGACATTTAACAGCTGCATGTAACACTTTCCTAAATCTAGTAACTTTATCCAGACTTTGAAAATTCAAATTATTCATCAAACGTTTTGTTACATAATGAGTCTCTTCACAACTATATCTGCTGGAAGTAATATTTGTTTTGATTAAATAATAATGTAAAATTACCTTATGTCAGAAATAAGGTTGGGAAATGCACAGCAGTAGAATTAATGTATTGCACTTAAATGTTTTTAGAGCAACATGTTGCATAATTGAAAATACTTAGTATTAGAATAATTAATAATATAATATGAATGGAGGGCACACATTTTGCCAAGTAAAATTTTTTTAACTTGTTACTGTTAAAAATTTTCAGGACAAAGCGGGGAATGTTAGAAACATTTAATGTTGGAGATGTTAAATCCTGCTCTTGCCTTCGGACTTTAAAAACAGAGCTGTCATCAGAAATGACAGTTTGCAGCTATTACTATGACATTACTGTCATACATCTTGTTTGCATGTGAAGTAAACAGGATATAAATTAAAAAAGTGGTTGGGGTACATTTACAAATGTTTTTTTTTTTTTTTATACTTTTAATAATATATCAACAGAATCAATTTTAGCTCCATATTAGACCTTTGCAACTTTGTACTTCCGCCGTCCACACAGACTTGTCCTTGGGGAGGTGGCGCCTGTCTCCAGCATACATTGGGTGAGAGGTGGGGTACACCCTGGACAGGGGCAACACAGAGACACACACACTCTCACTCAGCTAAGGGCATGAAATGCAGCGTCAGTTACATTAAAAAAAGTGATATAAAGTGCAAATAAATAAGCTGCGTAGCAGTTTGGGGCTTGACTGCTGCAGTTTTGTTCACTTGATGTTGCCAGGTAGCTTCAGGTAGACCATGTTGAAGAGACTGTTTCTGACCAATCACTGGAACATCCTCTGCAGGGCCCTGTTGCATGGGATAGTGCAGCTGGAGCTCCACACTGAGAAGCGGTACTTCAACACACTCCACAACAAATCTGCAAAAAAAAAAAAAAAAAGAAGTGTCCGAAGCGACGGTTGTGTTAGCTTCCTTCTGTATTGAACGGTTGCTTAACGTGAAGGACTTGCATTCAGGTCATGACCTTCTGGAGTTGATCGTCCTCTTCCTTGTTTTTCTCACAGAGAACCAGGATGTTGTCTCCACACCGTCTCTTTCACAGTTTGACATCCTTCCTGCCGATTGACTCATCGCTTGTGAACATCTTCAGAAACATAAAAAAATAAAATAAGAATTGCTGCTTTGATGTAGCATAGAAAGGACGTTGCTTTGTCTTTCAGTCTTCATCGCTCCAAAAACACATCATCTGTCCGAGCTTGCTAAAGTTGAACTCTCCATACAAAGTGTGGTTTGTGAGTTTCTTGCAGGATCAAGTAATCTCCTCAAGATGGCGCTAAAAAACCACCGCATCTGCCTGAGAGTAGCAAAGAAACATATGGAGATCCCTATTGACAGAGAATAATCCCCCCCCCCCACCCTCCAACGTCTGCATATCTGTTACCGGGATCAAATTAATAAAGAACGACAGAGAACTATCAGAATTGAGGTTGAAGCTGCCAGGTTGGATATTAATGTGCATTGTGTGCATTTGGTTTGGAAGCACTGCCTTGTAATCTGTAAAGGGGTAGGACACCATCCCCTAATTCCTTACAGATCCTCTTCTTGGATTTCAGTTTGGAGGCAGCAGTTAAAGCAGCCAAAGAGCCGCAGGGAGCGCGGGGAGGATCACTGGCTTTGATAAACAACGCGGATCATTTTGGATTGCTTTTTAAAGTATTTTCCTAGGAGGGTAAAGAAGGGTGGTCAATGTTATTCACTGCTATTTTCCTGTCATTTCGTATCCAGGCTCTCTGTGACATCCAACTGATTTCCATTTCTCAGGTTTCAGTGTGTGGATAAGGAGAGACAGGAGAAGGGGGGACTCGAGTTCAAACATGACACCAAAGCAATTCACAAGATGCTTTATTTTTTTTCCCCCTTTCTCTCTTTTTTATTGACAATGTCAACCATGGCCATTACAAAAAAAAAAAAAAATCACGTTTGCAATGCTTTTCGGAACAACTCGAGGTCGTGTCGCTTCTCACTTTTAAAGGACATCAAAGGAAACCAGAGCAAAACGGGTTAAATGTTGTGGGAAAATTTCAGGCCTTTGAAATACAGATGAGCGTCACAAATCAAAGCAAAGTCTGTTTCCACCGCCCCCCCAACCCCAAGAAAACACGATGAAGCATTTCCAAGAAAGGGTATTTTGCATATCTGTCCACTCTTGAGTGTCCCGGCAGCTGGACCCGCTTCACCCTCCAAAAATGCCTCTCCTCTCGTGTGCCGGCATCAACAGCAAACACACTGCTGCGCGTCCTAATGAAAACCATTCAAGTCAATCAAGTTTAGCGGAGACCAAAGGCCAGTGTAATTTGGGAAAATTGCTGAAACTCCAAAGTAATCTTCTGTAATGTGATCTTGCGTATTGAGCGCTGGCTGTACTGTACGTGTCGGATAAGAGCTCAGTCATTTTCTTCAAATGCAGTCCTGACAAGCAGCATGGCTATCCACCTGCAAGTAATCATCATTCTAGTGTTAAGTGCTTTGATATTAAAATGACTGATTTAAGACCATTTGCTGCTAGCAGATAGGGGCCTTAAAGCACTTCCACATGTTGATAGAGAGGATAAGGCGAGTTTGTGAACTGGCTTGGCTGCGTGTTGCAGAGCGGCCAGCGATAACATGTCCTGCGCGTAGTAATAGAGCAGTTATGAAAGCAAACTTACATTTATCATGAATGATGTGATCAGAACCTTTTAGATAGTACCAAGAGCAAGGGTTTAGATTTATTATGTTTGTTTTTTGACATCAAATTGAAATGTTGTGCAATTTGCAAAGACGCCACTTGAGGGCAACGTTGGCTAAATAAAACATCCACAGCGTTAACGCTACCTTTTTTTTTTTTTTTTTTTTAGGGGCTTTGATTACTAGCCATAAAAAAAAATTTAATTAAATAATTATTTTTGTTTTTTTTTTTTTTTTAGGGGCTTTGATTACTAGCCATAAAAAAAAATTTAATTAAATAATTATTTTTGTTTTTTTTTTTTTTTTAGGGGC